GGGGGGCTGGCCCGCGCGCATTTGTGCGCGCGTTCGCACATGCCAGCCAAATGCCAATCCTGCTGAGGCCACCGGCATCCGGCGGCCGGGAGCCCGACGCTGTCCACCCCGCGGCCGCTCAGGATATTGATCCAGCAGTCCACTGTAACTCGATCGAAGAACGATGACAGCAACCTCCTCCTCCCCCCCCCCCCCCCCCCCCCCCCCCCCCCCCCCCCCCCCCCCCCCCCCCCCCCCCCCCCCCCCCCCCCCCCCCCCCCCCCCCCCCCGATACTCCCTTGTTCTCTTTGGTTCGAGGGGCGATCTGCCTTACCAGCTGGTCAGCCCCAGCTCACATCCAGGTGGGGGGGGGGGCCTGTATCGTTCGGCCCAGCCCTGGCCCTCTTCACCCCCCCTTCCCCCCCCCCCCCTGCCGCCCCCCGGTAGGCTAGTCAGAGAACAGGAAAACACATATGCGCACGATGGTGACACCCGCGCTTAATAGACAAACATCGGACCCTGCAGGGATGTGAGGCGGGCAGTGAAGCACATTCCAGCCTCGCCGGGGCGCGATATCTGCGCTTGCTTTTCGCCCCGCGCACCAGCGGGCCTGTGCGGCTGGGCCAGGCTTGGGCCCCTCTCCCTGGCTCCCAGCACTTGGGCGGGGGGGGGGGGGGGGGGAGAAAGCATCCAGGCATCCCCTTGTATCGGATTGTCCGGGATCGATCTTACCTGGGCATTGCTCTCTCTCTCTCTCTCTGCATCTCTCTCTCTGACCCGACTCGGGGCAGCGGGGGACGGGGGGGGGGGCGCCTCGTCCGCGAAGCGAGCGGCACCAAAGGAAAATAATAATCCTCGGGCGCAGCAGCGTGTTCTCTCTGACAGGGGGAGGGGGCCGCCCTGAAAAACCCACGCGCCTGGGCACCGGGGCGGCCGGAGAAAAAGGCGGCCGGCCAAGAGAACACAACTTCACCCGGAAGCCCCGGGCCCCTCTCTCCCGCAGGTGTTGGAGCCAAATTATCTCTCCAGCGGGCCGAAGATTATGCCCTCGAGTATATATGTGTGTGCACACCCAAGAACGCCGGGTCTTGCTTGTCCCATGGGCGTGCCCGAGAGGGCCAGACCAAGGGGTGGGCCAAATTACAGCCGCTGCTGCCTATCTTTGTGGCGCCGTGCCCC